AGAGGCTGGTCACTGTACAACTGTTGTGGCTTTGGACATGATACTACCTGTGAGAGGCTTTTCACTGTACAACAGTTGGGGCTTGGGACATGATACTACGTGTGAGAAACTGGTCGCTGTACAACAGTTGTGGCTTGGGACATGATACTACCTGTAAGAGGCTAGTCACTGTACAACAATTGGGCTTGGGACATGATACTACCTGTTAGAGGCTTGTCACTGTAATTCTGTTTGGGCTTTGGACATGATACTACGTTTGAGAGGCTGGTCACTGTACAACAGTTGGGGCTTGGGATATGATGCTACCTGTGAGAGGCTGGTCACTGTACAACAGTTGGGGCTTGGGACATTATACTACCTGTGAGAGGCTGGTCACTGTGTATCAGTTCGGGCTTTGGACATGATACTACCTTTGAGAGGCTGGTCACTTTACAACGGTTGGGGCTTGGGACATGATACTACCTGTGAGAGGCTGGTTATTTTATAACGGTTGGGGCTTGGGACATTATACTCCCTGTGAGAGGCTGGTCACTGTACAACGGTTGGGGCTTGGGACATGATACTACCTGTGAGAGATTGGTCACTGTACAACAGATGGGGCTTGGGACATAATAGTATGAGTGAGATGCTACTCAAAGTACAACAGTTGGGGCTTGGGACATGATACTACCTGTGAGAGGCTGGTCACTGTACAATTGTTGGGGCTTGGGACATTATACTCCCTGTGAGAGGCTGGTCGTTGTACAACAGTTTGGGCTTTGGGCATGATACTACCTGTCATAGGTTAGTCACTGTACAACAGTAGGGCTTGGGACATGGTACTACCTGTGAGAGGCTGGTCACTGTACAACGATTGGGGCTTGGGACATGATACTACCTGTCATAGGCTGGTCACTGTACAACAGTAGGGCTGAGGACATGGTACTACCTGTGAGAGGCTTGTCACTGTACAACAGTTGGGGCTTGGGACATGATACTACATGTGTGAGGCTGGTCACTGTACAACGATTGAGGCTTGGGACATGATACTACCTGTGAGAGGGTGGTCGCTGTACAACTGTTGGGGCTTGGGACATGATATTACCTTTTAGAGGCTGGTCGCTGTACCACGGTGGGTTCTTGGGACATGATACTTCCTGTGAGAGGCATGTTTCTAGCTTTCAAGTTGTCATTGGTACTGAGGTTGTACGTTTATTTACAAATCCAGCCTGGAAAACTGGAAAAGAGATGTAAGCCACCCTGCAGCAGCCTTGATGAGATCTAAATAAGTAATCGTGTCCATAGATCTAAGGCAGCCACACTGCAACAGCCTTGTCGTAAGAGGCGACTAACGGGATCGGGTGGTCAGGCTCGCTGACTTTGTTGACTCATCGGTTCCCAATTGCGCAGTTTGATGTTCATGCTCCTGGTCACTGGATTGTCTGGTCCAGACTCGATTATTTACAGACCGCGGCCACATAGCTGGAATATTGAGTGCGGCGCAAAACTAGACTCACTCACTTTACCGATAATATTTCATCTGTCATCGCACTTAAGTATACGGTCGTCTCAGGTGGCCTAGCCTACACGAATGCAGTTGTCAGCCGTTGTACTTCCTTTTTCGAGACAGTAGTAATCACAAGTTAGTCGTGTTACAACAACATCGTATACTGATGCAGCCACACAGCCAGTAATATGTGCTACACATTGTGAGACTATAGATTAAGATAATATATGGGATCTCCTCACTTGTTGGGCTACAACCCCCAATGGTTATTTGTGGTGGTGATGATGTCAGACTTGCCCCAGTGCCTAAAAGGTGACAAAAATGTATTCATAGGTAACCGGAAAATCCCCCCATAACAAAAGAGCATCGTAGGACAAAATCCTCCCGGACAAACACACACACCCCACACCCCACCCAACACCCCCAGGAAATACAGTCATACAGTCAAGAGTTTAAGATATCCATTTATTTATTTGTCAATATTTCAACATTCAACAAGGTCAAAGAGCACATAGCACATTTTTCACATCATTAATTGCACATTTATTTTTATTGACATATTGATACAATGCCAATGAGCATACATTTATTCATTTGTCATTTATGTTATTGGATCATAGCACATCATCACATCATTTCATCAAACATCAGTTTGATTAAGTGTTGATCAAAGATCACCAGAACCTTTAATCTAAAGCTAAAGATGAGTAGGGGGATTTTGTCCTGGATTCCCATATCAATCAGATATGATGCAGGTGTCCAAAACATGTCGAGTGATTCAAACATTCCATAGTCTGCTTTCATGACCTTTGACTGTGGAAGTAAGTACACACATCGTACTCACTTGTAAACACACTTGTCAGGAAAGTGCAGTCTTTTGTAAAGCTTGCTTCTATAAACCGATTCCTATAATTCATTTTCTCTTCACAAAAACGAAGTTTTATGGAGTGGCATTTAGAAGTTGGTGTGATGAACAAAGAGGAGAATTCTATGGATATACAACTTCTTTACTATAATATGCGGGACGTTTCGGTGTAGCTACTAACACCGTTATCATGCAAATGATGTACAATACAGTAGTTAGTTATTTGCTTTATTTAATGTCGCACGCGCAACTAAGGTATTTCGGCGACAGGGTAGTACACTTATTAAGAATTAAGGGGGGACAAAAAAATAGAACAACATATGACTTAAACAAATTTTATTCATTACGAGTAATGAAAAGGACTGGCAAACAAGCCAAAAGCTAACCTTAATGCCGCTCTAATACAACAGCATTGATTATGTACATATGTGTGACATTTCAACAGTAAATAATTAAGTGACATTGAATTTGATGAATGAAATAAATTCATTTACAGTAGGTTTACAGTTATGTATTACATTGTGTTCAGTACATTACTTCTTAAAACTTAAATCGACAAGATTTTTCGATAACACAATGAACAGATTTAACAATTTGCAAATTTTCAATTTCTGATGCTTGAATATTTCCATATAGGTCCGATTTGAGGTTGTATCCATTTCTATAAAAATGCATATCATTTCTTAGATTGTCATAATTTGGACACAGAAAGAAATAGTGTAAATTATCTTCACAAAATGCACAACAGGAACAAGATGGGTCATTAGATATAAAACGATGTGCGAATTTAGATCACTACATCCTAATCGAAGTCTACAGTGCATAATTTGACAGAAACTGCTTCCAAAATTTGAATCATAGGCAAATTTATCATAGGTTTTGAGGCTTTATTTGTAAAAGGTTTAGGAGACTGTATTTGTTTAATATCATCTGGTAAAAGATTCCAAAGTTCTACAATGCTTGGTAAAAAAGAGTTTCTGTAGAAGGTTGTTCTTGAAGGAACGTTTTGTAAATTTGTTGAAAATCTCAAATCATACAAAATATTCGCAGATACGGGTTTTGGAACCATATTACATAAATAGCTAGGTGCTTTATTATGTATCATTTTATGAAAAATGTTTAACTTTTGTATACGTCAAAAAAATGTTTAACTTTTGTATACGTCTTCTTTCAGCTAGAGGTCGGAGATCAGTTTCTTCATACAATTAATTATGGCTTGTACCACGTGTTGCCCCGCATATAGTTCTCGAAGCAGCAAGTTGTAATTTATGATTCATTGTACAGTTTGCTGCTGTAATCAAACAAAAGTAATATGAAAGATGTATACATCATTTTAAGAGTGTTTCTTGATAAAGCAGATTGTCATGGCTGAAACCCTATCTATAATGCTATCTATTGGGATCCAGTTTCCATCTGCTTGAAGGACGAGTCCTATATGTTTATGTTTGCTTACCTCTTTAATGGGGATACCTTGCATTGATAACTGGGGTTTTAAACACGGTAAACGTTTCTTGCTAAAATGTATACTTTCTGCTTTTTCGGGATTAAACTTAACTTGCCAGTTTTTAGCCCATTGTGATATTCTTTCTAAATCGTCGTTTAAGCGCATAGCGGATACACTAGGATCATCTATGAAAACATAAAGTGACGTAACATCGGCAAATTGTCCAATATTACAGTTTATGCCGTCTACAAGATCATTAATATATATCAGAAACAACAGTGGTCCTAACACTGATCCTTGGGGACACCTGCTAGTACAGGCTTATATTCTGAATTCAATCCATTTATAACAAGTTTCTGTACTCTGTTATGAAGAACTATCGAACCATTTTAGTAGCCTACCACCTATACCATCAGAACGTAATTTATTCAAAAGTCCCTTATGCCATACCTTATCAAAGGCTTTGCTGATATCGCAGAATACAGTCCTTACCTCCTTACCCTTATCAAGTGAACTTGAAATAAAATCATATAAATCTATTAACTGATAGTTAGTCGTCCAGGGCTAGTTAGTGAAACCAGATTGCATGTTATTCAGAATAGCATTGTCTTTGAAGAAACTATAAACATATTTATGTACACATTGTTCAAATACTTTTGATACACAACGTATCAGTGCTACAGGTCTATAGTTACTACAGTCATCAATGTTACCTTTCTTGTGGATGGGAATTACTGATGCTTTTTATCATATTTCAGCGTTCCGGGTCTTCAACAGAGGCCTTGGCGATGAAAAAATCATATCATACGTTTGCCATACACTGTAGATATTGGATCATCATAAATTATATTTTGATGCGAGATCGGTGGAAAACTTGTCATTTTATGTTTTTTATTCAAATACGTTTTTATCAAGTGCCACCAAAGTCTTATTATCACAATGATCATTGATAATGCCGTCTAATTTCAAAAAATGATTTTCCTTTGCCTTTCTGACTCTGTTGATACAACACATTTCCTTAATTTTCTAAAAGCTTCTGATTGAAGATTACGTCGTTTTGCAAGCTTGTCTTTACGATTTCGATTGCGTATCAAACTACATATTTCGGAATTCATCCATGACTTATCTTTACGTCTAACCCCAGAAATATGTTAGGTCATGTTCATAAAAGCACGTGATTAAAGTCTAAAATTCATTTTCCGGTGTTATGTATGAAAATAGAAACTTGCCCAGTTGAGGTCGTTGCATATTACACTGTCGTCAAGCAAGATGAAGGTACGTATAGACATTTATTTTATGAAATAATGTAAAATATCAGTTTCTCTGATACATGTTGATCAGCATTAACACATAACCTTTGTTTCCGAGCCTCGCGATCTTTTAACGCTCACTGTGTGAAACAAACTAAGGTTGCTGACACACAACAGCGTGGAGTGCGGGGCAGTTGAGAATGTAACGTTATGAATTAGGAATAGTGTCGAATATGTCACCTTGCACTGGAAGCTATTGGTCTTTGTGATAAGATATGATGTGGGTGTAAGCAAGATCTCTGCAGTATCATCAAGGCACACTTCCAGCATCACATCTAGAATATTTCATTTCACTGAAATGCATTTTTAAGCATATAAAAGTCTATTCTTATGGTGTCACAAGCAGAAATGATCCTATACAAAGTACGTAGGGGATTATGAATGTATTTTAAGCTAAGTATGATTATGACTATGTTTTTTTGTCTAAAATGAAACGACTAAACATATCCAATAGTTTGCACCTGGTGCAAGAAGTAGCGCTACATGCGTATGAATGTTGTCAAATCGGACTATATATTAAATGGCGGTCGACTAATGAGTACTGGTCATTATTTCTGTCAACCTGTTTGATTCTGCCTATCATACGGTTGTTATTTAGTTGTTTACATCCACTGGTTATGTAAGAAGATTGAAATTTGATAAATCGTTGCTAGTCGAAATTCACATTTCATTTCCTTGATACACGTTGTCGTGTCCGGCGACCTCGAAATGTAGGTCAAACTACAGTCATTCGATGATGAGACAAACAAGCCAGCGAGCCTGACAACTCGATCCCGTTAGTCGCCTCTTACGACAAGCATGGGTTACTGAAGATTCATTCTAACCCGGACCTTCACGGGTCGTAAGTGAAATAAACAACTGGTACAAGAAACTATATTTTCTTAGAATGTTGAAAAATTTATCTTAGTTCCTAGTATCCTTTACTTCTTTTTATGAGCATATTTTCAAATATATTTAACGACTCATTGTTGGGATGACTCCTCTGACTACGCAAAACTGGCCACTGCGGAAATAGGAAACAGCTGTGGGAAGGCTTGTGATGAGGAACCATTTAATGTAGTGTTGACTCAATGTCATGTGTTTAGAAATATGATGTAATGTATCCACAAATATACTGAGAGAAACAAATAACGGATCACAGAAAAATTCAAGCGTTCCTTTAATATTTTCCAGTTTTCATCACAAGCTTTGAATAGCGCTGAGATGATGAAAACTGGAAAATAATAAAGGAACGCTTGAATTTTCCTGTGATCTTTTTATTTGTTTCTCTCAGTATACGATGTAGCATTTATCGGTCATTTCTTACACGTTTATATGCATTAATATTCAGTCACATTGACGGTCCACAAACATATACTCAAACAAATATAGGTATGAACTAGAAAACAAGCCTCTTCGTTAACATACATGCGTTTACACATACATTTTCAACGACGGCAATTAATGCCAAGAGAGCATTATTTCAAAATGACAAAACTAAGACACCTGCAGATATAATTCACCAGCCTGAATGTAACAAAGAACGCACAGCGTGAACTTTAAGATGTTCACGTATAAAGGAAACTACACACTTTAGTGTGATTAATCACCACCTGATTGCAAGGGCAATTTGTTTTAAAATTAGGATCCAAACAGACGATCATAATTACACAAACATACTGGAATGCACATGTAAAGCACGTGCAATATGCAACATAATATGGGTTCTTTTTCGTTCATTGAAGGCGCCAAGCACAATGGAATATATATTTGCACACGTAAAGAGATGTTAATATGTGAACACACGTTCACACGTAAACAATCGTAAACATGTTAACACACATGTACAAATACTTAGACACAGGCTACACACGTGAACACACGCACACGGAGACACACACGGGTAAACACACGTTCACATGTGTACACACGTAAAAACATGAAAACACGTACCAGACACCCACACATGTATAAACACGTAAACGTATAAACACACGTAAATGCACGTGCACATGTAAACATACGAACACACGTACACAAGTAAGCACTCATACACACGTAAACACACGCACACACGTAAACACATTAAATACAACACAAAAAACACACGTGCACATAACAACACACGTGCACATTGTAAACACGCATATGCAGGTAAATACATTTGGATATGTAAACACACGTACACATGTAAACACACCTACACACGTGTACACACATGCACAAAAGTAAAGCACACACATATGAAAACGTACACACACATAAGCACATGAATACAGATTATGTAAGTAGACACAGGCGGTTCTACACACTGCAGTATAATTGTGAATATGTGATGATTAATATCTTGACATAATTCTACGGTACAAGTGAGAAGCCTGCAGATGTGGCCAACACACGCATGCACAAATGAACGAAATCAACTTTAAAGGAGAATGCGAGTGAATTGCAATAATTTACTGGGTGAAAGATAAAGTCATCAGAAACATATTCCCAAATTGTCAATTAAAAATTATGTATAATTATGTTTTAATCGCGAAAACAGATTCTGTAAATCTCAGCTTCGGCCATTATGCATATTTCGCTGGAACCCACGTGACCTTTCCGCTCGTGACGTCAAATGTGCCTGGAGTCCACCATATTGCCAAAGACCAAGCGCTACAGTAATACAAATCGTGCTGTTTCTGTCGTTATTGTAAATGGTGCGATGGTGTATTCTGTTGCCTGGGGATGCACGGAATCATCGAACAATGGAAAGCCACCATTTCTTCCCTTTTCCAAGTAAAGAGACAGACTTAGGCAGGATAAATGCTCCGATCTTTCCGAGTCGGACGCATATGAAAGTGACAAGCACACATGGGGCATACAAATCCCAAAGCTAGGCTGATGAAGGAAGAATTACCCACGAGATTCATTTATACTCCATCATTCCCTGTTACAGCTTTCTGTCAGTGGTATTTTTAACATAAATTAAATCAAGTACGACTGCCAGTCGAATTGCCCCCGCTACAAATTACCACAGCAAATTTGGTCAAATTGCCCCAGGGGGGTAGTTAAAATGCCCCAATTTATTTAAAATGATTAAATATAGGCCATAAATGCATAGTTTTGTCAACTGTGATATTATGTTCTTCATATAAAAGTATACATAGTTATGAGTTTACTGATGGAACATTTATGAGAAACATTACTTCTTAATAACTTTTATATGAAGAACATAATATCAAAGTTGACAAAAACTATGCATTTACGGCATATATTCAATCATTTTAAATAAATTTGACCAAATTAGAATGAATGGCCAAATTTGCTGGGGCATTTTGTAGCTGGGGCAGTTCCACTGGTACCCATGAGATATATATTATCAAAATCAGTAAGAGATTTCACATGAGCTTGAAAATGTTTCGCTATGACGTTCTTTTCGGTTTGGAGCCCTAAATGCTGCAGACTACCTGAAACATTGCCGAATACAACGGCAAATCATGAAGTACTTGTTGCTTTCATTGTTTTCCGTTCTGTCCAATTACGTCGGCATCAGACTCGCTATTTGTCAGTAGTGTGTGCCGTGAAAGTTGTTCTGTGTTCACATTGGCTAACAAGATGCCATTCTAAGGCTATGGCCGAGTACCATAACTACGGTCTAACATCCATTTCAGACCCCCTCTGCTCATTAACTGTCGGGTGTTTCCGTAATAGGCGGAAATACGAGTACGTTTTTGTGTTTTTATTGCTATTTTACAAACTTTTTGTTCAATTTTAATCACGGAAGGTGACTTTTAGAATATTCTTTACAACATATCAAAAGTTATGTTTTCGTTCGGATTCTCCTTCAATCACGAAACACTTCCTGGCCGTTTCACACTCTTCCCCCTCGTCATGCAAATGGCAAATTTCTGAGTACGTGTTATGAAACCGGCAACTTCGATATTGTCCAGTAACAATTTAAGGAAGTCCACTATAAGGGGTAAGAAGGTGCGCTGACACACATCTCAGTGATTGAGTGAGTGAGTTTAGTTTTACGCCGCACTCAGCAATATCCCAGCTATATGACGGCAGTCTGTAAATAATCGAGTCTGGACATGACAATCCAGTGATCAACAGCATGAGCATCGATCTCCGCAAGTGGGAACCGATGACATGTGTCAACCAAGTCAGCGAGCCTGACCATCCGATCCCGTTAGTCGCCTCTTACGACAAGCATGGGTTACTGAAGACCAATTTCTAATCCGGATCGAGACACATCTCAATCAAATTGTAGAGGATGCTTAAGTAATCTGTATATGTCTACAGTTATCTAATGTTTGCATTTTCCACTGCAAACTGTTAAAAGAATGCTCAAATAAACATATCGTGACTATGACCCATGGAAGTTTCGATGGTCAGGAAATATAACGATTATCTAAAAGATCTTGGTTAATATATGAACAGATATTGTTATACTATGGTGGCTGATTAGGGCCATCGCTTTCTCGCCTTAAAATTCGGAAGCGAGAAAGCAATATCACGAGACGAGAAAGCGATAACACGAGACGAGAAAGCGATAGCACGAGACGAGAAAGCCATAACGCGATGGCCCTAATCAGCCACCGTATTATATGGGTGTGTCCTCCTGATTTTACGGTGCGGGTGTCAGAATTCTAGCAAGGATAAACATGGATCCTTACACGACTGTAATCATTTCATAATTGCACATTATTTCTTGAATTCTTTTCAGCTCAATTTTAGAAAATGCACGATGATGACCGTTGTTTAGAAAAAACAAACAAATGTCAAATGCATTCACCTTTGACGTCGTTTCTTGTGTGGCGTCACTCCGCTCTTTACGTCATAATAATATTTTGTTTATATATACTGGACAAAATAAGTTAGGGATAATGGTATTTTTATGATTGATATTTCATCAGTGTGTCAATGAATAAATAGATCATTATTCATAATTTCAAAATTTACATATATCCCTAATTATTTTTGTCCAGTATATGATATGTAGTCTGAATGACGTATATTAAACACTAATGTGCCAGAAATGACATTAGCTCGATTTTTGTGAACTGCGATTTCTTACCTCATTGGTAATATTCGGTTCTCTTCATGAATGCAGATGCCGATTTCCGCGGCCCAGTGTGATTTCGTAGTGGGAGGATGCATACACCTCCTTGTGATCTTCATTTGCATTTGCCTCTCAAGCAGTATGTATGGTTTGTCTTGACAGCATGTAGTTATTGAGGATACTTCAGTTTATGTACACTGAAGGTCCTCCTGCACAAATGGAACATTTGAATCTCTTCAAATCTTTATCAAGCAATATGCTTTCTGATAAATTTGATTTATCATGTCAGCATGATTTTGCATGTCAGCATGACCCATTAGATGGGAATATAGTTTTTAGAATAACCATTAAATGTGAATAGAAATGGCAAATTTCTTTACGGAGGTTAATATCTTGAAACCATGAACATCAAAACATCAGTGAAAGTTGATTCATTCGATGACAAAGTTACATTGAACGTCAATGATAAATTAATATCATATTTTTAGATGTTATGTTTATCTCTTCTCAGACAGTTTTGTCGGATTATTTACAAATATGGCTATCATCCCTGTGACAGCAACAACAAAGGAACCAAATTGTTTTTTTGCATTTCCTCTGGATATATTTCAACATCCCGTTACAATGCCCAGAATCTCCACTTTTCCCGCTTCACTAATAGTTGTCTTAATGTTTAGGTGCGAGTCCTCCTGATTTCCTCTGTCCAGACGTTGTTGAACTCCATAGCCGTGCTGTGTTAAACTGCTCTGTATCTCACACTGACACGACCGTCAAATATAAAGGTCCAGGACTGAACGCCCCCCAGTGCGATCTGACACAAGGAAAGTGTACTGAATTTGGAGTCTACAGAGCGTCTATAAGTAACAACAACACTGAGCTAGTGATAACCAATGTGAGTCAATCGATGGCAGGTGAATGGAAATGTACAGATGACGCAGGAAAAATCTCGTCCAGTTGCAATCTTCAAATCTTCAGTAAGGGAGAGAGAGTGGAGACTGGATTTAGCTTTACGCCGCACTCAGCAATATTCCAGCTATATGACGGCGGTCTGTAAATAATCGAGTCTGGACCACACAATCCAGTGATCAACATCATGACCATCGATCTACACAGTTGGGATACGATGACATGTGTCAACCAAGTCAGCAAGCCTGACCACCCGATCCCATAAGTCGCCTCTTACGACAAACATGGGTTACTGAAGGCCAGTTCTAACCCGGTTCTCACGGGTTAATCAGTAAGGACCAACTGTTACATAGCAACGCACCTGCAAAGCATGTGGCTCTACATTCCCTTTGTTGTTATTTACATACATGTAACTGACCCTGAACGAAAATATTGTCTGATTTAATCTTCAATAGAGTAATAATTGTTTTATTGATATTGACTGTATGCGCATGTATAAATTGTCGTGGACGCTTGTCAGAGTTATATCAAGCTAATCAAAAAGTATGACGAGTTAATAAGTTAAGGCAAAAATGTAACTCTTATCTGAAATATTACGGGGAATATTACTGGTTGGAGTGTTCACTTGAGGAGGTACACACAGATTGATATGGAAATTGCTGTAATCGATTTTGGGACTGGTATCCGTAGTGGCGATTCAGATCATGTGACGTGATGGGCTGTGGGCGGTGGGGTAGCCTAGTGGTTAAAGTGTTTGCTCGTCACGTCGAAGACCCGGGTTCAATCCCCCACATGGGTACAATGTGTGAAGCCCGTTTCTGGTGTCCCCCACGGTGATATTGATGGAATAATGCTAACAGCAGCATATAATTAAACTCACTCACTCTCTGTAACCTTTAGTTTCATGGTAAGCAAAATTAGTGAGTGAGTGAGTTAAGATTTAAAGTCACATCGGCAATATTTCAGCCATATCGTGACTAAAACTAGTTCTAAATTTATAATACATACATATAATATATAAAACCCTGTCAACGAAGGACAGTAAAACCACTAGATTATCACAGATTGAGTTAAAACTAGCTAGCATATATCTTTAAAAGTAGAAAATTATTTCTGGACAATACAAAGTAAAATTGGGCTATAGATCGCCAACAACTGAAGGTAGATCACCATACTAGGGACCATGGGGACTTACAGTGCCTTTGCTACCTGCATATACCCTAGTTGGATGTAAGCACAATAATAATTAGCATCAACAAGGTACAACTTGTCGGCCTACAGCAGGTCCATTTATAATTTTATGAAAAACGCCAGAGGTCATGTTCTGTTTTAAAGGGAAATAACTCCAAGAATATCATATGTTACTTAGGTATTGATATAGCTCATTTGGCCTCAATATTGGTTTCAGAAACTCCATCATGCAGTATAAGGAGTGACGTGCAGACGGATGCTGTGACAGCGGGTGAAGAAGTAACGCTCATTGTCTCCATCATGTCCTACTTCTGTTCTGGAGCATCTAACTTCACGCTGCAGACTGGGAATACCAGTCAAACCTTGGATACAGCTGTCGACCGTAAAGAAGCAGTCGTATTTCTTTATTTCATACTGAAAGGCCACAGGCCTGTAGTACATTGATTAATCATGTGCGGGTAGTAGAGCATTCTTTCGGAGAATAAAAGCTTTATGGATATATATGGACAATCTTTCTATATGTGTTTTACTGGAATTATTCATCAATGATATAAACTTATGCATTTCAGGATGTACATAATAATATTTCTTTATATATCTATTTCTTAACGATAAGTATGCTGGGCAAACACATAAAAAGTGAAACTCATCTTCGACCTCGTGTAAGTTGCACATTTGGCAGATTCTACTTTCTTTTTCAATACCTTGGTATCTCCCAGTTTCAACATATAAATCATGCGCGGAGCAGCGGAATCTCGCCAATGAAGATTTATATTTCCTTATGGTCAAGACTGAAAGATAATGTTCTGCATATATGGAATCTTTTATCATTTTGTAGTAAAACATTTATTAGATAATGAGAGACTAGTTAACCAATGTTGAAGGAATATATATTTAAGTCTTTGTTTAACTGTACAGACAAAGTGAGAATGAGATTCTACAAATTGTTCATGCCAGGCATTGCCGAAGCCGATAGATGATAATAACTGTTTTATGTCTGTTACCCAATTACGTTTCCCATGGCTATCATATAGTATCATCATTTCATAACATTTTCTTGGCAATCTGTGTGAGGGCATTGTTAATAATTTCAACCAATATCTAATAATTTTTACATTTGATTCTATGTACAATGGATATCTTCCACATTCTCCGTAGACCATACAAGTTGACGTGGCTGTTTTTACGCCCAGAAATTTCTTGCATGCATACAAATTGACTTTTTCTAAGACATCAAAAGTTTTAAAACCCCATACTTCTGCACCATATAACAAAATTGGGTATATTTTGGCGTCAAATATTTTGAAAAAAGACTTGTAAGACAAGTCGCCTAAAATATGTATATATTTTATTATACCTATTAATATTTTCTTTGCTTGTATAGCTGCCTGTGATGTGTGTACTGCCCATGAAAGATGATTGGTAAAATGTACGCCTAAGTATTTATACGAAGTGGTTGTTTCCAGTCTATTTCCCTTGAAGAACCATTTTTCATTATTGGCTAGCTTACCTCCATTTTTAAAAACAACTATCTTTGTTTTAGCCTGGTTTACAGAAGCAGTCAACGTCTCCATCACCGTCACAGACTCACATTATGGAGACGTGAGACTCATCTTCGCCTGTCACAGCCATGAACGGAATCTGTCCTGTGCTGGCATAACACAGCTGCAAAAATGTATGTATGTATGTATGTATGTATGTATGTATGTATGTATGTATGTATGTATGTATGTATGTATGTATGTATGTATGTATGTATGTATGTATGTATGTATGTATGTATGTATGTATGTATGTATGTATGTATGTATGTATGTATGTATGTATGTATGTATGTATGTATGTATGTATGTATGTATGTATGTATGTATGTATGTATGTATGTATGTATGTATGTATGTATGTATGTATGTATGTATGTATGTATGTATGTATGTATGTATGTATGTATGTATGTATGTGTATGTATGTATGTATGTATGTATGTATGCTATGTATGTACAGCAGTGTGTGTGTGTGTGTGTATGTATGTATGTATGTATGTATGTATGTATGTATGTATGTATGTATGTATGTATGTATGTATGTCTGTATGTATGTGTGTGTGTATGTACTACCTGTGAGAGGCTTGTCACTGTACAGCAGTTGGGGCTTGGGGCATGATATTAACAGTGAGAGCCTGGTCACTGTACAATAGTTGGGGCTTAGGATATGACACTACCTGTAAGGGCCTTGTCGCTGTAAAACAGTTGGGGCTTGGGACATGATACTACCTGTGAGAGGCTGGTCACTGTACAACAGTTGGGGCTTGGGACATGATACTACCTGTGAGAGGCTTGTCACTGTACAACAGTTGGGGCTTGGGGCATGATACTACCTGTGAGAGGCTGGTCACTGTACAACAGTTGGGGCTTGGGGCATGATACTACCTGTGAGAGGCTTGTCACTGTACAACAGTTGGGGCTTGGGACATGATACTACCTGTGAGTGGCTGTGAGTTGGCTTGTCACCTGTGACAACAACAGTTGGGGCTTGGGACATGATACTACCTGTGAGAGGCTGGTCACTGTACAACAGTTGGGGCTTGGGGCATGATACTACCTGTGAGTGGCTTGTCACTGTACAACAGTTGGGGCTTGGGACATGATACTACCTGTGAGTGGCTTGTCACTGTACAACAGTTGGGGCTTGGGACATGATACTACCTGTGAGAGGCTGGTCACTGTACAACAGTTGGGGCTTGGGGCATGATACTACCTGTGAGAGGCTGGTCACTGTACAACAGTTGGGGCTTGGGGCATGATACTACCTGTGAGTGGCTTGTCACTGTACAACAGTTGGGGCTTGGGACATGATACTACCTGTGAGTGGCTTGTCACTGTACAACAGTTGGAGCTTGAATTGGGGCATGATACTACCTGTGAGAGGCTGGTCACTGTACAACAGTTGGGCTGGACACTGGCTGGTATGGTATGGTATGGTATGGTATGGTATGGTATGGTATGGTATGGTATGGTATGGTATGGTATGGTATGGTATGGTATGGTATGGTATGGTATGGTATGGTATGGTATGGTATGGTATGGTATGGTATGGTATGGGACATGGCTTGGGACATGGCTTGGGACATGATACTACCTGTGAGTGGCTTGTCACTGTACAACAGTTGGGGCTTGGGACATGATACTACCTGTGAGAGGCTGGTCACTGTACAACAGTTGGGGCTTGGGGCATGATACTACCTGTGAGTGGCTTGTCACTGTACAACAGTTGGGGCTTGGGACATGATACTACCTGTGAGTGGCTTGTCACTGTACAACAGTTGGAGCTTGAATTGGGGCATGATACTACCTGTGAGAGGCTGGTCACTGTACAACAGTTGGGCTGGACACTGGCTGGTATGGTATGGTATGGTATGGTATGGTATGGTATGGTATGGTATGGTATGGTATGGTATGGTATGGTATGGTATGGTATGGTATGGTATGGTATGTATGTATGTATGTATGTATGTATGTATGTATGTGTGTGTGTGTGTGTGTGCGTGGGCGTGCGTGCGCTCATGCATGTATGTGTGTGTCTGTGTGTATGTGTGCATGCGTGTCTGCGTGCCTGCGTGCGTGAATGTACGTACGTACGTGTGTGTGTATGTTTGCGCGCTTGGGTGTATGTGTGTTTGCGCGTTTGTGTGTAGATGTATATTTGTATGACTGTTTCTGCAAGTGTGTGAAAGTGTGTAAGTTTATTTGTGTACTAGAGTTAGATAATTGAGGAACAATGCTAATCAATCATAAGAACGGATTTCCAAGAACGATAAAACACGAAATCTCAAAATCAGTCAGTTAGATTTGCACCAGATGTGTCAATTGGCTATCTTATTTTAATTTTAAGACTTACTAGTCTGTTTTGTCACTGACAACACAATTCAAATTATTCAAACAGGACTCCTTGAATGGATGTGTGGTTGTTCATGTAAAACTGAAAGTGCCACATAATTAATATGCTTTTTCGTTTTATGCAGCTGCCGCTACCTATGCTTCCACCTCCAGGACAGGTGCCATCAGCCATTTCATAATCCTTATTCTGTGCATCGGGATCGTATCAATTACCAATTCCATGCTCCTTGGAGGTCTTTGAGAAAAGCGCAACAGTAGTTCACGAGTGCGCCCATTGACCCCGCATACAATGAAGTTAGATCTCCGTTTTCTATGACGTTGTATATTGGTATCCTAAATACCATTCTGTCTTTCAACGTCCTGGTATATTGGGCCAGGGGTATCTCCCATTTGTGCACGTGGACAATTGACTTGACAAGTTATCTCCGTTGGTGTCTTGTGGAGATTATTGACAGGAGGGTAATCAGTAGTACATGCCAGTAAGAGACGACTAACGGGGTCGCGTGGTCAGGCTTGCTGACTTGGTTGACACATGTCATCGTATCCCAATTGCTTAGAGCAATGCTCATGTTCTTGATCACTGGATTGTGTGGTCCAGACTCGATTATTTACAGACCGCCGCCATATAGCTGGAATATTGTTGAGGTGAGGTGAGGTGAAATTGGGTTTTACGTCGTACTTGAGAATATTTCACTCATATGACGACGTGCATGCGTGTGTATGTGTATGTGCGGCTGCTTGTACTAGCCCAGACTTAAGATGGTTTTATAGTGCTAGCCCACTGAGGTACCATGCCACAGTGAAGCATGAATCCCCACTCAGACACATTATACTGACCCCGAACCGACCAGTCCTTGTTGTACCCATTAATGCCGAGCGCCAGGCAGGGACCAACAGGTATCATATTTTAATGTCTTTTGGTATGACGCGGTCGGGGATCGAACCCGCGACCTTCCGCTCTCCGGGCGGACGCTCTAACCACTACACCACGGAGGCGGTCGAATATTCATGAGGCTGAGAGCAAGCAATACGGCGATATGACGGGGCTGAGAGTTTCGTTAAACAACAAACACAACAAAAACACGTAAGCTAAAACCTTGTTTGTGTATCATTCTGTTATTCAACGTCCGGGTTTAGGGGGCTAGAGATATCTTCAATTTGTGCACGTGGCTCGTAGACCCTAAACAGTTATCTCCCTTGGTATCTTGTGTTAATGCATTGGTATATGTAATGGAGGAAACACGAAACCGTGGACAGTTTGGATGAAATGTGAGCACGGAGGGGATGAAACCCATTTTTACACTTTCATTCAACCCCGCACATGTGTGTTGCGTCCTAGCTATAAACCAATACAGCCTGTAGGTTAACATCTGGTACGCAAGTACAAACCATTCACTACGTTTGTTATAACTGGCCGCCTGTAAGATACTTTGCAGTACTGAGGGAGAAATCATTAAATGTGTTTGTTCAATCTGCCACTTTCTTATGTCCATGTGTGTAATCACGATGTTGTCTGTAATACACTGTGCAGTACTGAGGGAGAAATCATTAAATGTGTTTGTTCAATCTGCCACTTTCTTATGTCCATGTGTGTTATCACGATGTAGTCTGTAAGACACTGTGCAGTACTGAGGGAGAAATCATTAAATGTGTTTGTTAAATCTGCCACTTCCTTATGTCCATGTGTGTTATCACGATGTAGTCTGTAAGACACTGTGCAGTACTGAGGGAGAAATCATTAAATGTGTTTGTTAAATCTGCCACTTTCTTATGTCCATGTGTGTTATCACGATGTAGTCTGTAAGATACTTTGCAGTACTGAGGGAGAAATCATTAAATGTGTTTGTTAAATCTGCCACTTTCTTATGTCCATGTGTGTAATCACGATGTAGTCTGTAATACACTGTGCAGTACTGAGCGAGAAATCATTAAATGTGTTTGTTCAATCTGCCACTTTCTTATGTCCATGTTTGTTATCACGATGTAGTCTGTAGACACTCTGTCAAAATGAATCTGCCACTTTCTTATGTCCATGCACGTGTAGTCTGAGGAGAAATCATTAAATGTGTTTGTTAAATCTGCCACTTTCTTATGTCCATGTGTGTTATCACGATGTAGTCTGTAAGACACTGTGCAGTACTGAGGGAGAAATCATTAAATGTGTTTGTTAAATCTGCCACTTTCTTATGTCCATGTGTGTTATCACGATGTAGTCTGTAAGATACTGTGCAGTACTGAGGGAGAAATCATTGAAAGTGTTGGTTAAATCTGCCACTTTCTTATGTCCATGTGTGTTATCACGATGTAAATCTGCCACTTTCTTATGTCTGTAAGATACACTGTGCAGTACTGAGGTAGAAATCATTAAATGTGTTTGTTAAATCTGTGTGTCCATGTGCAAGATCTACTACTTTAATTTACCTTATGCGAATATATACTCAAAGGGAAACGTCATAGCATAATCGAAACATTTGTAATTATTTGTGTTATTATTCAATTTTTGAATAAAACTGTAACTTACATAAACAATCTTAGTTGTTTGTTGATGTCACGCCTAGTTCTCTTGCGGGCTGATACCAAAATGACTTCTTAGATTTTTAGATTCAACTTGGTAATCACAACGTAACAGTGTTGATTACAGGTGTTTCCAAATTGTCACAAGAAGTCATCACAATAATAAGACATCCAATCCACGTTAAAGCAGCACACGAATATAGCTGCGATTTGTCTTATTGTGGTAGCAATATTATAGATTTAGTTCTTCAAACAAAAACAAGAAGTACAACTTTTGTTCCCTATTACCTTCATACCTACCCCTCCATCGACATACTACCCATACTTTTCCTCTTCACTGTCCACTGACTTGGTTGACACATCGTATCCCAAGATCCCATGTAGATCGATGCACATGCTATTGATCACTGGATTGTCTGGTACAGACTCGATTATATACAGACCGCCGCCATACAGCTGAAATATTGCTTAGTGCGGCGCAAAACTAAACTCACTCACTCACTCATCAATACATTCAGTCATGAATACCCTTACCTGTGCTCTAAAGTAAGGACATCCCTTATATTGTCATAATCTATAGCCTTAAAACGCTTGTCACATACCACTGGCGTGACAACATGACTTCGCCTGAAAACCAGAGTGTACTAAGTCACAAAAACTATTTTCGAGAAATTCGATCTTGAAGTTTAGGACAACAATATCTTCTGAACTTTTCAATCGAATTCTTTCAAATTTTGCACATGCATGTGACATGTCAAACAGTATCAGATAATGGCACACTATATACTCAATCTATTTAAATAAATAAGAAATTCACGAAAAATGATTGGAGATAGAACACTTGACCAAGGAAAATCGTGATATTTCTCAAAACCAAAGTGTTCTAAGTGTCAAAAAACACAGCTAACACTCAGCTTTATTAGTATTATATTGATATTTGATTGTTATTTCCTTTTTGACCAGGTTGAATTTTTGTCGTTTAAACCTGTTTTTCTTTCATAAGAACTATATTTAATTAAAGTTAAAATGTTCCATTTCCATGATGACAATCACTTCAAAATTGGTAAATCTCAATTTCACGTGATCAAATTGTGCTTGCTCATTGGTCAATTGACAACTTAGAACACTCGAAAATTAACAACATGTGATTTTCATGGAGATAGAACAACGTTTGTGTTTGAAAAGCCACTTTCAAAGCTAGATAGCACTGTAAAAAGTTTCTAGAGTAATAGATTATGCTCTAAAACCTACCCTGAGCATACTAACTCTAATTTTGTCGAAAGTGGACTTAGAACACTTTGGTTTTCAGGCGACGATGAGTATTCGTCGGTTGTTAGTGACAAGCCTCACCTGTGATTGTCACTGCATTCAACAAAGAAGTATAACGTGAACGGCAGCTGCGTTCTTGTAAGCTGAGTCACCTACTGGTGGGTGAGATTGCATGAACAGATATGCTTGTTTCAAGTAACAGTTAAAGTTGTCATGGTCGCATCAAGTATGGAGATCCTTACCTGTGCTCTAAAATAAGGCATCCCTTATTCACTTTAATGCATCAGACGGGGGGTGTGGTGGGCAAGCTGTCCTAGGCGCCAGGCTAGTGATCCACCGAGGTTGAGGTGTCGGGATCGAGCCCACCTGTGACCGGGCGTAAAACCCTTGGAGCCATTTTTGTGTGCAGACTCTTTCAGTTTTGTCACAACCCCTAGTGTACAGTACACAACCCTGTGCACTTAAAAGAACCCACAATCCGTTGGTATATGACCAGATGGTGGCCACATGAATACGTGCAAAAACCTAGTAAACTTGAACAAAGTACTGTGACTATGTGTCCCAGTCCACCCAGCTGCGAATGGGTACCACGTAGGGGTGGGAATGGCACATTAACTCGGTGCGCCTAGTGGGTACAAGAGTTGTATGATCCCCTGTGAGTTGTGATGGATAATACAATAATATATATAATCAATATCCAGATGTGCCCTGCTCAAAGGCGCTTTCGTATGAGTTTGACAAGGAAAGAGTCACTCGGAACTGTAATATCATTTGAAAAAGAATGTTTTTAACATTCTCTTAAATGTACAGATTTCCTGTGAACTTTCAATGCCCAATTGGATGTTGTTCCAAAGCATAGGACAAAACATCTGTCTCCGAATGTGTTCGTTCTCGTACGCGGCACAACTAGCATCTGGGCACTACTAGAGCGTAGGGAACGGGATGGTTGATGGCACTGGAACAACTCGTTGATGTCCGATTGGTCAATACCTTCAACAGCTTTGTATACAAGCTCAAGAATCTTAAATTCTATCCGTTTGACTAATGGGAACCAATGCAGCTGCATACGAACTGGAGTTATGTGCTCATTTTTGCCAGTTCGGGAGATAAGTCAAGGAGCTGCATTTTGTACCCTCTGTAACCTTGTAATTCGGTGTTTTGGTAACCCAACCAAGAGAGCATTGCAATAATTCAGACTGGACAATACGTATGCCTGGATGACTGATGCAGCCACACGTGTGTTTATAGACTTCCATATTAGAGCAATGTTCCTGCTCTGGAAGTGTGCATGTTAACCGATTTCACTGATATGGTCTTCAAGTGAAAAAACAGAGTCATGAATTACTCCCAGATTGCGAGCGTTTTTACTTGGTTCTATCATACCGACATCAATTTTGAAAGCAGGCAGTGAGAGATTTCGCAAATTGGATTTTGGACTGAAAATGAGAAGCTCTGTCTTTTCGTCATTAAGCTTCAAAACGTTGATAGCCATCCATTCAAGGATATCAGAATTGAGATATCACAGCAAAGGAGAATTCAAGTGATGGTTTACTTTGTGCAGTTTGAGATTGACATCCAATGATCGAGGGCAAAACAAAGCGCCTGTGAGCAGCTGAGCTGAGCAGGATATTGGCTGGATAGAAATAGAAAAAATGCATAGAAAAAAATAATATGCAAACGCATTGTTGCCCTGTGTCACGGTGACACGAGGTACTCGTTGCATAGTGGTTACAATGCCATTGAATGTATTCAAAGCCTATTCATCACCCATGCTCAGTAT